AAAAAAAAATTTTAAATTTAAAAAATACCCGAGACAATTTTCTCACTGTTGGAGAAGTTACAAATAAAAGGGGGAAGATTAGAATAAACCTTGTGGTACTATCAGAGTTTGAGATATCAACATGGATTCTAGTTTTTAAAAGAATACACACACACACACACATACACACAATAGACAGTATATCCACTTGATTAAAAATCCAAAAGTTTAAAAAGGTGAGATAGCAAAAAGTCTTTTTCTCACATTTTATTGTGATAAAATATGTATAACAGAAAATTTACCATTTTATGTACTCATGAAGAGTGTGCTTCTTAGCTGAAGTAGATACATGAGACTAAATGGGCAGCTCCTGTCCAGAGGCGAGATGAGAAGGCAGAAAGTGTTAGGAGCTGGTTGAATGGACATGGGAAATCCAGGGTGGAAAGGAACAGTGTGCTGTTACAGTATAGGGAGAGCAGCTAGGGTCACAAAACTATGTATAGGTTTTTGTATGAGAAACTAACTTAAAGCACAACAATAAAAAATAGAAAAAAAGAAACAAATTTACCATTTTAACCATTTTAAGTATATAATTCAGTGTCACTGCTTACATTCACTGTGTTGTGCAACCATCACCAGTACCTGTTTCTAAAAGCTTTTCGTTACCCCAGACAGAAGTTCAGTACCCCTTAAAGCAATAACTTCCCATCCCACTTTCTCCAAGTCCCTGTTACACAAGGCTATGTGATTTGCCTAAGATGGTGCAGCCAGATAGAGCCACCTAAGCAACAAATGTTGGCATCTAGGAGAACGTGTGAATAGTTTGCAGGAGTCAGTGAACACCTGATTAATAAATTGACAACAGCTTTTACCCCAGTACCTCTGTATGATTTGCTAACCAGGAACCAGTTGCCATCCAATCAGTTTCGACTTTGGCAACCCCATGTGTGTCACAGTAGAAAATCTGCTACACCTGAACCTGTTTCTATTCTCGTCCTCCCCACATAGCTTTTGCAGTGATGTTAATTCCTTTCAGCAGCCCCTAGTCTTTTTTTTTTGGAATGTGTGAATTTTTTATGTCTTCTGGTTTCATTGAAAAATGAAATTTGAGTTCTTTCATTTCTTCCCTCAATTACCCTGTTTTTGTATGATATCCAGGAAGAGAGGAGGGAAATTGCTGTCTTATACTACCTTGTTTATAGTGAGTCTCTTCATTTTTAACGTCTCTTTTCAAGGAATATAACTTTAAACTTCAATATATTTTCAGAAAATACAAAGAAGTGTTATTAATCAAATGGAAAGAGGGAAATATTTATATATTTATGACATAAATGGCTTGTCTCATCTTTTAAGCCAGGGATGTAGTACGGTGTAGTCTGGGAATGACAAATAGGTTTCAACAGAGTGATTGGTGGTGGCTGCCTGGAATGCTGGGTTGATGTGTGCCTGGAGCTTGGGTTGGTGAGTATGCCAGATAGATGCCAGTCCTGCTCCAACCTCTTGTCTAATAAATCATAGATGGAGAGGCAAATGCAGAAAACTACAGCAGTGTTCTGTTTTAACTCCAGATGTACTCAGTGCTAGGCAGATTTTTGTAATGCTGGGAATAAAGCCTATTTTGCTTTTGCTTCTGTTCCGTCATTAATTTGGGGGTTAATTTATTTTATCGAGTGCCTGTCAAGTTCTACTGTCTTGGATGAGACTTAGATAAGTGGTGTTTTTGCTGTTAACAGTTCAGTAGGAGAGTAAGCATAAAATCTTCCTCAATGTAGATGGATGAACTATAGTATTCCCTTACAGCAAATTTATTTTGGAACAAATTTAGTTACTAGCCAATCTGCACCCCCCCTCCTTTTTTTTTTTTTAAGGTTAAAATGGGCTTATTGGTGGACCTGACAAATACATCAAGGTTCTATGACAGAAATGACATAGAAAAAGAAGGAATCAAATATATAAAACTTCAGTGTAAAGGGTAAGTCATGTGTTAAGACTCTTTAATATTGAAAATTTTCATTGAAATTTGTAATCTCCTTTTTTCAAAAATTTTTTTTCCGTATTACTAGACATGGTGAGTGTCCTACAACTGAGAACACAGAGACATTTATTCGTCTGTGTGAGCGGTTTAATGAGAGAAACCCACCTGAACTTATAGGTATGTTTGGCTCTACTTTATCAACGTTTTATACATTTTATTTTGTGGTTGGGTTTCCAGTCACTTTTTTGCAAATGAGTTGACATGCTTTTGATATGGAGATTCCTACCCTCTCCTCCACCTTTTAAATAATCACTAAGTAATGTTTATTACAGTAATAGACTAACTTTTGTGAACTATAAAATACACGTATTTTCATAATTTTTGCTTTTCAAGGTAAAGCCCTAATTGCTCCTATACCCCTCCTCTGCCTTAATGACATATTTTGGTCCATATTTTAAGTGGTTTCATTTCAGTGGCCTCTCTCAAGAACCAATTATTTTTGGAATTATTCTGACCTCCATTTTGCAGATGGGGAAGCTGTGGCTTACAGAGGTTAAATAACTTGTCTTAGGTTGTATAGGAGCCCTGGTGGTGCAGTGGTTAAGAGCTCGGTGGCTAACCAAAAGGTCAGCAGTTCGAATCCACCAGCTGCTCCTAGAAACCCGGTGGGGGCAATTCTGCTCTGTCCTGTAGGGTCCTTATGAGTTGGAATTGACTCGAAGGCAACGAGTTTGGTTTGGCTTTAGGTCATATGGTTAGGAAGCTGTGGAGCCAGGATTTAAACCAGGGCATGTTTGACTGTAGAGCTCAGGCTTTAAACTATGCTTCCTTCCTCTTGTAAAATAGATTTTCTTTTTTTTTTTTTTTTATGGTACTATTAACATCAAAAACAGTGTCAAATCCTAGGAAAATAACAATCACCTTTAAGGTTTCCTCTGAGATAGATCTACTTTTAACATTTTAGAGTATTTCTTTCCAGTCTTTTTACTGTGTATATATTTTTGCATCATTGAACTTTTAAAACATGTGAGATCAGACTGCATAGGAGGCAGTGTCCTGAGGTGAGAGCCAGGCTTTAGTTAGAGCAAGAAAGGGAAGGGACTCACAGTTACCTGTTCATTCAGAAATATTGATTAAAAATTTAATGTGTGTCACCATGGCCTTGATGCTGTGGATATGGTCTCATTTTTAGGAGGATTACAAGTCTAATGGTAAAATAGATAACTAATCTGAGAGCCAGGATCCAGTGTTATACAGGAGAGGTAAGTAAGGGATGCATAGAGCCCATATTTTAGGGGATCAGGGACAAAATGGCCTTAAAAATATAATATACATTATACATAATAAATATATAAAAAGTATATGCATATATATGTAAGATAAATGAATATGTTTATTTAAGCTGAGATCTATGGGACAGTTCAAGAGAAAGGGGTTAGAATGACAGAGCAGAGATTCGATTGATATTACTTTATATTTTCTTATAGTATTATTTCTTTAAAAGTTTTTATTAAGAAATATTTGATACTGTCAAAAGAGCCAATTTCATATTTATGTAAGTTATGGAGAATAATAATGAAATGACCATGTGTGAACATGTTTCTCTAGATAAAGAAATAGAATATTATCAATATCTTTGAAATTTCCTGTGTATCCTTCCCTGATCATATCCCCTGCCTCTTTGGAGGAGTAACCACTGTTCTGAGTTCTCTTGTTTATCATTCGCTTATTTCATTGTAGTTTTGTCCCTAAATCAGTGCTTCTCCATCTTTTTTGCACTGTGGCATATATAGAAAATGAAACTGCATATATACAGGAATAGATTGGAGGGAATTTGGAATCCTGGACAAGGCTCTTGTGGCTGGCTTTGATTGCTCTGGGGCTGCTGCCACTCGAGTCCCAGTCCAGCTCCTTGAGGGCTGAGGGCATCAGTGTTTTCAGGTGTGCTTTTGAGAACTCTACCATCCATTCTCTTGTTGATGGATACTTCATTTAGCAAATATTTATTTATTGCTACTCTGCCAGGCACTGTTTTAGGCTCTTGAAATATATCAGTGAAGAAAACAGAAAAAAAAATCCCTGCCCTTCTGGAGCTTATATTGTACTGGGAGGGGGGTGGTGGTGGTACAGACAATAAACAATACGTATAATGAATAAGTAAATTTTTTTAAAAAGTTACTTAAAATGACATTTGGCTTATTTCCAGTTTTTTTGGCTATTAAAAGCAATGCTGCTAGGAATGGTCTTTTAGAATTCTTAAGTTAGATTTTAGCTTTGATTCTTTGTTCTTTCTGGTACATACATTGGAAACCCGGGTGGCATAGTGGTTAAGTGCTACGGCTGCTAACTAAGAGGTTGGTGGTTCGAATCTACCAGGCGCCCCTTGGAAACCCTATGCGGCAGTTCTACTCTGTCCTGTGGGGTCGCTATGAATCGAAATTGACTTGATGGCAGTGGGTTTTGGTACATATATTGGAGCATGGTTTGAATTGAGTGTCTAATTTAAATATTTTCTACATAGCCAGTCATTTGTTTCAGCATGGTTTACTGAATAATTTTCTCTCCTGATGACTTGGGATGCCATAAATTGGCTTCTTATATAAACTGTTTGAAAAAATTTCTACTTTATTTGCTTTTTAAGGTTTTTATAAAATTAAGCGTTTTTGTTGTCAAATATATTTTCTTTCGTGATTTCTTCCTTTTCTGATTTTAAGCAGCTAATGTTTTTCCTCATTTAGAGAATCAACTAAAAAACCACTAGATATAGTAAGAAAATTCAGGGATATATTTGGGCAAAAGATAAATAAGAAATCACTGACAACTTTCCTGTAAACAAGCAATAACTAGTTAGAAGATGTAACTAGAGAAATGGAGAAAGATCTCATTCATCTTAACGTTAATAACATTAGCTAACATTTATCTGAATTTCCTCTGTGCTACTCACTGTGTAAACCATTTTATATACATTATTTCATAGTTATGGCAACAGTCTTATTAGGTAGATATGATTGTCACTCCCATTTTATGAAAAGAAACTGAAGCTTGGAAAGACTAAGTGACTTGCATAAGGTAATTCACACAGCTTATAGTAAGGGCTAGAGCTTAGATCGTATTCTGTGTAGTCTGAGTTGTGAGTTCACACGTGAAACTATCACTGTCTTCTGTAACAGAAGTACAAAACAAAGAATAAAGTTATTAAGAAACATAGGAGGTGTTTATGAAGAAAATATACCTAAAGATTAAAATAAAAATTTGAAGAAATGGAGGGACATTACTTGTTTCCATATTAGTTTCAAATTTTTAATATAGTTCCAAGCAAAATCTGATTGAGACCTTGGCAGAATTACTTTGAGGTTAATTTGTATTTGTGAAGTCCACTGCTGCTTTTAAGTCGATGAATATTTACTGAACACAGAAAAAAATTGTTTGGCAAATTGAACAGGCAAGATTATGATCAAGAAAATTTTGAAAAACAAAAGCAATGAGGGGATTTTCCTTACCAGGTATTAAAACATGATAAAGCAATAGAAACTACAGTAGTGGTTTCCTGGTGGTAAAGGAGGCGTTTTTCCAATCTGATTGTTCAACAAATGGTGTGGAGACAATTAGCCATGTAATACAGTACATTTTAGATGGATTAAATATTTGAAAAAAACTGTAAAGAGTGTAGGAGAAAATAGAGATCAGTATTTATCTAATTCTGGGGTAATGAAGCCTATTCCAAGTGCATTACTAAAGGCAGAGTTCATAAGCAAGCATTTTTTAGGGGTGCTCCTGTTCTGTTTGCATCAAAATCACCTTAGGATACTTGTTAGAAATGTGTGTTTTAAAGCCCCAACCTGGACCTACAGAATTAAAACCTCTGGGAATGAAGTCTAGGAATCTAGATTTTTAAACAAGAGTCTCAGGTGATTTTTATGCACACTTAAATTTGAGAAGTGCTGTAAAAAATTAAAATGTGATAACCATTAATGATAATACAAAAACAACAAAACAAAAAAAACCCAAACCCGTTGCTGTCAAGTCGATTTCTACTTATAGCAACCCTTATAGGACAGAGGAGAACTGCCCCATAGGATTTCCAAGGAGCGGCTGGTGGATTCAAACTGCCGACCTTTTGGTTAACAGCCATAGCGCTTAACCACTGTGCCACCAGGGCTCCATTAATGATAATAGTAACCAAAAAAAAAAAAAAACCCAAACCTGTTGCCGTTGAGTTGATTCCGATTCATAGTGACCCTGTTAGACAGAGTAGAACTACCCATAGGGTTTCTAAGACTGTAATCTTTATGGAAGCAGACTGCCATGTCTTTTCTCCCGTGGAGTGGCTGATGAGTTTGAACCACCAACCTTTCAGTTAATAGTGGAGAGCTTTAACCGCTGTGCCACCGGGGCTTAATATTAACAGCTAGTATCAGTTAATGCTCACCATTTGCCCAGGAGATACAGTGGGAAATTATAAACAAATATTTAAATGCCATCCTTATAACATCTGTATGTGGTATGTGGTAGTATTCTCATTTTACAGATAAAGAAACTAAGTCTCCAAGAAGTTATTTGCCCAAAGTCACATAGCTAATGAATGGTTGAGCCAGGTTTTTAATCCAGTTTCTGGCTCCGAAGTTCAAATCTCTAATAGTTCCTACTCTGGTTTCTAGATCTGAACACATCAAAATGAAAAAAAAAAATTCTATATGATAAAACACAACAGAAACAGAACAAAAGGTATTTGACCAGTTGGAAAAAATATTTGAGGCATGTATGACCGATAAAAAGTTAATATCTTTTATACAAAGAGATCTTATAAATCAAAAGGCAAAAGAGGCATTCCTCAAGAGAAAAATACGGAAAACAATAAAGAAAACATTTTGCAAAAGGTGAAATACAAATAGCCAAGAAACATGAAAATTTATTAACAAGAGATACAAATTAAAATATGTTATTACCTTTTCTTCATCAAATTGGCAGAGATGTAAAAAATTAATACCCATTAGTGTCATGGGTTAGAGAAAATGGATACACTCATGCATGGTTAATAAGAGTATAGCCTCTCTAGAAGGATAATCTGGTGATATTTCTCAAGAGCTTTATAAGCGTTCATACCTTTTGTAATAAAAAATTAGAAACAGCTTACATATCTGATAAAAGCAGATAATTTATATTACACAGTATGCAAT